GTGTGGGAATGAACTGATTTGAGTTTGTGATGTAATCTCCTTTTTCAAAACTCGTGCAGGTAGGGGATAAAACAATCAGACTGAAAAAAGCTGGAGATGTTTGAGCTGTTGTGTGAGCCAGAACTGCACTCATTTTGAGCTCAAAGGACTCTGTTCATGTTTATTTGACTCAGTTTTTTCTTTCTCTGGATAACAGTTAAAATCCTCTATTGGTTTAGTTGAACCAACGGTATAATTTTGACGGCCTACTGTAATATTGCTGTCCTCGTCTGTGAATTTCAATTCCGTCTGCGTTGTGGAAGCACGGCACAGCGGCACACCCCTCTTTCAGTTTGTCTCTCTCCCTCTTCATCAGTGTTTTGTGAGCCTCAAAAGTTTATTTTTTTCCCTCCATCAGTCTTCACAGCACGTGAGCCACGCACGGAGGAAGCTTCTTGTCAATGACAAAAATAATCGATCGAAAAGAACGTCATTTCTGCACGGCATAGGAGTCGATTTTCTATTAAACAGAAAATATTACTCGTCAATAGATTGAAATCAATGGTTGGACCTGCCTTGATTCATCAGACCTTAATTTACAACCTTTGTGTGTGTGTGTGTGTGTGTGTGTGTGTGTGTGTGTGTGTGTGTGTGTGTGTGTGTGTGTGTGTGTGTGTGTGTGTGTGTGTGTGTGTGTGTGTGTGTGTGTGTGTGTGTGTGTGTGTGTGCATGTTTCTCAGTAGAGGCAGACAGGTACAGAATGAGGGAACAAAGGCAGACTGTGTTATTAATTGTTCCCTGATAGTGTTTCTCACTCAGATGGATAAAATAATAAAATCAAAAGGCCATGACGTTTTTTGTTTGTATGTGTTTTCATCAAGTTAACAAGGCTGCTGTGGACAGATGTATGATCAGTGATGACCCCCTCACCCTATTTGTAAGGCTATGTCCAGCCACTGTGGAGTAAAAACATGGCCGCTCAGTTTTCAGAATCTACATCTTTTGGTCCCCACCCTTTGCCCCAGTGGTCAGTACAACATGTGCATGATGCCCCAAAAAACTAAGCATTGAGCCAGTTTTTGGCAGAGCAACACATGTATGATAACATTTGTATTATTATTTTTAACTTTTAGTTTTGGTGATAGTTGTGGTATAGTAGCTATTTAGGCGCTTGAACTCTTAAAAGCCTGTGTTGAGGATCATACACACACACACACACACACACACACACACACACACACACACACACACACACACAAACATTAGGAATCAAATAAGTCCACATCAGAGCAATAAATTATTGAGACATAACAAATAATATAATTTCCTTGGAGGGAAACATTGTGAGTTAGAGCACAGAAATAGAGGTTTGCTTTATGAATAGAGGCACCAGATTTAGCTTTCAATAGAAAGTCTGCAAAGTGGCTCTAAGCATGGCATTGCAGATTAAAACCAGATAGATGAGACATAAAACACATAACAATAATGACTCATTATTATTATTATTAAGAGCTCTACTCCAGTTAAGCCCAGTGACTTTTCTTTGACTCTAAGCGATGCTTAAAGCCTCCAGCATGTAAGTATCTCCATGCACATTTAATATCTTTAACCCCCAACTAAATGTAATCTTGTGATTAAGCACCCAACTCCCATATATCCAAAATGACTGTCTGGAAGACTTGTACAACTTTTCTCCCGAGGCCGAGGATCAGATGCATCAAACTCTGTGAACATTTGTTGTCAGGCTGGAGTTTGGTGTCTTTACTCTGGGGTGAGGGGAGGGATGGGTCTGCTGTCTGAGTCTCTTTGACTCCGGGTCTGTGGGAGATAAAGATTTGTTGCAATCAGTTGGTTTTATGTTAGGAAGTTGTCTCAGGCCCATGCTGTCAGATAAGGGCCTAACATGCCTTTGCTCAGATTGCTTCAACAGCTCTGAGCTGCCAGAGCACCAGGGGAAGGCAACACTTTTTTTTTAGTTACATAAGGAACCCGGGCTGGAGACAGTTACATCTGCAGTTGTCAGTCAGGGTTTCACTGATTTAAGGTGAGATTTTGAGGCTATGCATTTGCTAAGCACATTTCCCACATTGGGTAAAAAACTACTGAGCTATGGTATCTGTCCAACTCAATTTGTGAATTTGAATCTGCTTTGGATTCATGTTATTAGTAAAGAAACCGCTCTGAGATGCATTCATGTTAAATCCAGTGAGAAATAAATATAGAGACTCCAAATGTTTACCTTAGGTCCAACCCCACAGGATGTTTCTGTGCAGAGCACCAGCACTTCACTCGATGCATTTCCAACTAAGTACCCTTGGACGGCAACAACAGAGGCAAACAAGGTTAACAAGACAAGTGGTAGCAAGCAGGGGAGGAAGCATCTTCTTTAATACAAAACAAATTACTGCAACATCTTAAAAGCAGAAACACAGAGGATAAAACTCCACACTGAGCAAACAATTTGTGCCGAGATGTTTGGAGTCAAATTGCCAATGGGTTAGCACTGGATGTGAGAGAGGAGGGGAAGACACAGGAAAATTTATCTATGATCACTCGCTATTACTGACAGATGGAAACCAGCCTACGCCGGATCAGACAATGCTCAACTCAGATCACTCCCACTTTGGCATCAGGCGATGACAGGAAGCACAGAGTAATGACAACCGCTTTTAAATGTAACAAGCTTTTGTCCTATTTAGGATAAGATGAAAGCACACAGGATAGTGGAGGGAAATTTTTGTACACAAATGATGAAGAAACACATGAATTATACAGCGGATTAATGCTTTAAAACTGCAGTACATCTGAGAATATTATTATTTCATGCATGTCGTGGTGAAAATGGTTAAGCATTATGTTGCTTTTCTAACCTTGTTATTGCTCAGGGGAACCCACAGGCACCGCACGGGGGAGGATTTATTTCACTAATATTGATTACACTAATTAAACATTACTGATTATGTGCTAAAAACGACGAGTGGCCATGCATCTTTCTTAGTCAAAACAAAGGAGTCAAAAATAATGTTCAATGAAACAAGCCCAGGAATCAGGAAACATGATCAAATTAGGCATCAGGAGAATTAGACACACCATTAATTCCAGCATTAAAAATAACAGATCAGACACTCATCTCAAAAACAAAACACTTTGTTCCTGCTCTAGCTGAAGCCTACATCAGATGGCATTCAGTGAAACATCACTCCATGCAACAACGTAATGCAGTGTTAAGACAGAGGGAAGAGGAAGTAAACTTGGCTGTAATACGGTGACCCCATATCTGATCGCTGCTCTCTTTCCCAACGGTGTCTCTGGGAGTCTCATCAAAGAGCCTAAAAGCTGTCTAAGTGTATTATTTGACAACCTATGGAGAACCAATACAGAATGTCAATGCCTACAATTGGACTATGGACATTAGTGTCAGCTTGGATGGTGATTTAATTGACAGAGTGACACTTAAAGAAGAAAATTCAGACCTGGGATCAATATCACTAAGAGGGTGATTTGCTGCTGCCTATGTTAAACAGATGAAGGAAGCTGGCACAGAGTCAAACCTGTATTCTTAATGACTCAATACAACTCACAGAGCGCTGACAGGAAGGCCTTTTAAGATCTGTGTAACCTCCTGGGTTAATTGAATGAAGTGCAATATCATGTATGCTTATGGTCTGACTTATGGCCTGACTACGTTGTCTCATACTATAAAATATCGATGGTGATTTTCTGTTTGCAGTTCTAAGCGTCATTGAGCAGAAGCTGCTTCAGTTCATTGAAGCAGCAGCAGCTATTTACAAAAAGAGAGAGACTGTGGTTCAACTGTGAGTAAGCACACTAAAACAAGTCCCTCAATAGTTCTTTATGCCTTCATGATGTGTAATTTGTTTCTCTAAAAATCTTTTTCTACTCTTAAAACACATTTTTAATAATTAGAACAAAAAGAGGACTTACTTCTGCAAACAAAACACCCCAGCATTGATTACTCGTAATTAGAAAATCTTTATGACCTTCTTGAAAGCCCTTAGCTTTGGTCAAAATGTCTTATGTACATTTCTTCCACTTTTTTCAACTAAAACCTACTGGGGAACAAGAGCATGGTCATTAATACACATCAGTGTCAACGTTCAAGAGTCAAGATTTTAATTATTTATAATTTATCCTATGTATCTCCATACATGAAAAAAAGACAAAATGCTGTTCTCCCAGCCCCCAGCAGTGTGACGATGAAGAACATATACATATAAATAATATACCTAATAAAAACCTACTACGACACTGGTCTATTTTTACAGTCTATGGTCTCAACTGATTGGTTAATTAAACTTGGCCAATGGAAACTGTTGATTGGAGGTCATGTAAGAAAGAATAGTGTAATGTGTTGATAATTTAGCAGGAACAAGCCCCTATAGTTATTCATCTGACCTTTAATTACATTCTCCCTTTATTCTTGAGATCTTTGATGACTTCTGAAGATCTAAACTCAAACATGAAGGTTACTGAGCTTTCCTGTAAAGACTCAAAGGTGAAGTTCACACTGCAGCCAAAAGTGTTTTTGCTCCTATGTGACTCTGATTTGATTTTTTTCAATGTGAACAGCACAAGTCACGTGGAATGTGATCTTTCAAATCCGATTTGGGCTACCTTCATATGCGTATCTCATCAGGGGTCTGATACATTTAAAAAGTCATGTTTAAAAATCAGAATTGAGCATTAAGGTGTGACGGTGTTAATGAGCCTATGTCTTTTGAATATGCCTGAAGAGGTGTGCTCAGTGAAAAAAGTTGAATAACTTTTAAGATTATTTCTTTAAGAGATATGCATTTGATGTCTTTTTGGTAGCTTTGATTTTTTTTAAATAAACTAAAACCTTTACAACTCAAGACTGATAAATAAATCCCAGTGAATGTTGGCATTACACAAATTACTTATTTAATAAGATGAGCAGAAGAACATGTGATGACAACAATGTGTTGTGTTTGGATGGCATCAGAATGCTACTAATGCCAGCCCAAACCAACCAGTGTCATGGCTCTCTCACTCTGGCTCCCTCCTGATTGAGGTTCATTCCTTTCACCTGCTCTCACCTGCACACCAGCTCTCCATCTCCTCATCAACTCAGCAGTATATATACCCCGGCTCTCCATCCATTCATCACCAGATTGTTGTTTCAACTACTGGGGTAAACTATGTCTCAGGCTAAATTAAGATTTTGAAAGCGCTTTGAAATTAGTCTGTTGTGCTTGTTTTTTTTTTTTTTTGAGTCTCATCCTGTTTTTCCTTTGCTTCAGGATCACCATTCACCCACCTGCCTTCCTGCTCAGCCATCTGCCTCAACATGCTCTTTGGACTCCAAACTGCTCAGCCACACTCACACCCCTACTCTGGTCTGGTCAGCCTTCGTCCCCTTCACTCTGCTAACCTCCAGAATCTTCAACCCATCTTCATCTCCATTTGCCACAATAAACCTCATTACCAATCAGCCCCTCTGTTTACGTGTCCTGCATCTGGGTCCTAAATCCACTGGTCGTAACAACCAGACTAACTTTACATCATTTGAACCAAAAGGTAGGCTCAATGTGAGAGCACCTTAGGTCTGCATGTTGGGGTCAGGAAGTTGTGTTTTACATAATGTACTTACATTGAAGAGACATTATTTTGTAACCTGTATTATTCTGTCTTTTATTGTTGGGCTTGTTAGCTTCTGTTTTTTTTATGTTCACGTGTTGTTGAGTTTGATGCTTTTTAACGGCCCATGTCGAGGTGGGCATCAGATTATTTTAGGCTATAAATGCTGTGGTGTGTAGCATCAGTTGACTTGCTTCATACTGGTCCCTATAAATATATATGTAGATTCCTCCAACAGGGGGCTCTCAATTAATACTAGAATTACAAAATGATGTAAGTCTAGTGGGGAGTCATGGGAGTTCTTTCTGCTACTACATCAGAATCAGAATTGGGTTATATTGCCAAGTACATTTACACAAGGAATTTGACTTGGTGTTTTGGTGCTAAACAATTAACAAGGAAATAAAACAGAACTAGCAACAACTTAAATAATACAGTATAAGAAGATATTACAATATATACAATAGAATTTAAAAATGTAAAATAAAAAATATATAAAACACAAAATGTACAAATGGTGCAATGTAGGAGCTGTGCAGTTGAAGTCCAGTGGGCGTTAATGTAACACATAAAGAACAGTTTCAGCATTCGTATTACATTACATATTGCATGTTTAAGATAAACTTAAAATAAATAAATAAGTTTAAATTGAATTAAACATTGGTGCTAAAAGAAGTGCACTTTTTTTTTAAATCACTTTGGTGATTACATATTTAGGTCCTTCTTAGATAAATGTCACTTTATTATGATTAAAAGTCATTGTTCTTTCATAAGGTTTCACAGGGACATGTATGAGCTGAATAAACCAGTAGACAGTTTATTTTCTGAAGCTTTGCTGATTCTTGGAAAGAGAAACAACCAAGTTTTTTAGAGGGACTCAAAAGTCACACATTACTACAGAACTCTGAAGTTCTGCAGAAAAGAGGCTTGTTGGAGGGCAGGAGTGTAGATGTGAAGATCTGCTGCAGAATGAAAGAATCTGGTCTCCCAAAAAATGTTTGAGAAATGAGCACAGTGTTTTAAAATGCAAATTTAGGGTTTGTATTATGATAATGTAGAAAAATGCATTTCCCTACCACAAAGGGATTATGTGAAGGAGATCAGCCAATTACGTGTTCACACCTTGGAGGAGATGAGGACCAGCGAGGGAGAGAGACTGAGGAAGGAATAGAGAACAAAAGAGAGAGCAAGAAAAAAAGGAATGCTGATAAAATGAGACAAAAACAGGGCTGCTGTACTGGGGGGGTAGATTAAGCAGGAGGTAGACTGTTTCATTGCCACTACTGGCAACAAATCCCCCAGTAATAACTGCACCCAATTTCAGTGTTGCAAAATAAAGAAATAAAGGAACGCAGCTTAGGCATCAAAGCGTGAAAAATCCCTCTGTGGCTGAGAGCTGGATGATGCCAGTGGTCTCCCTGCTGGTATTATGGCAGATCTTATCAATGAGGGGGGCATTTTGTTGGCAGGATTACCCCGGCTTTGAGAAAAGGGATATTCATTAACTCCTGTTGACATCTCACAGAGCGATCATAATCCCACTGAGGAGCAGAGGACGGAGCACGTGAACCGGAACAGAAGCTCTTTGCTGCTTGGTGGCGTCCCCGTGTTAGCGCTCTTGCTCTCTGCCTCTCTGGTTCACGTACAGAAGAGTGCTCTGACCCAACAAATACAAATATCACTTAAGCGATAAATAAAAGTACATTCTGAGCAGAAACCATAGAGCGTGATAAAGCCCGCACGTGGCATCCTGTAGCTTGCTGAAGTGATCTTTGAAGCTTTGGATGCTTTCTGCTTGGCACCATCTGAATCAGTATCTGATGCTGCTGAGGTCAGGTTCCTACAGTCAAACAAACAAGGCACAACCTGACTGAGGATGACCCGGCTGTCGGGTGAAAATGTCTCTGGGCGTTAAAGGCTTTATATGCAATTTTTCACACTTAAATATAATAGAATATAATATATATCCTTATAATCCTATAATTATTTTCAAAGTATATCCTCTGAAAATAACTCTGTGAGTCATGACTGTCTACAATGGATGTAACACCCGAGTCCCACTGTCTGTGATGTTTTCAGAGTTTTCAGAGTCCTATCTTCACTTTGTTTACATCGCCCGGCCGGCCGGCTGACTCCTCCCCTTGCGTATAAAAGTTCTTTAAGGGCACGGTCACACTGGTCATCTGCACCGTGCTGTACTCAAGTACGATTGCCCCCCCGCTGCGCCATTCCCATGCTGGCCGGCACGGCCCATGGTCACACTACACAGGACTATCTGTGCCTAAAAGCACGATTACCTCTTGAACGTAACGTCTTAATACAACACATGCACGCTTTATGTTATTATGAAGCATGCTCAGTTTACAAACAGGCGGACGAGAGAGAGAGAGAGAGAGAGAGAGAGAGAGAGAAAGAGACACCCAGTCGAGTCGCCTTCTGAACATCAGAGAAAAACACAGAGAGCATGACAGCTACTTCACTGACTTTACAGCTTATTTTAAGCCATTTTAATCAGACACATCCATAAATAAAAAAAATAGACGTGCGGCCAAGTCCACACGGACGCCCACACATTGGAGAACAACACAGAGCACATGACAGCTACTTTGTGTCTTTTATTGTGTCATGTTAGTCAGATACAGACATGAAACTCTGGATTTCTCCTTAATGAAGGCTGTCAGCGTTGTTTACCCGCGTGCTTGTGCTCGTGCATGAAGTGTACCGTGCCTGAGCACGATACGGAGCGGTCACACTGGACAAATGAACTGGACTTTAGCGTTGAAGCGTGCTTGGGCACGGTACAGATGGCCAGTGTGACCGCGCCCTAATTGAGGAACTAGAGAAAAGGAGAATAACATACTGTACTCACTGCTTAACTGTGTTTCTAGATCACGCTCATTTCAGGTAAATTTACATGCAGTGTGAAGATACGAGCATAATAAAGATCGCTAACATTAGCATGCTAACACAACAATGCAGCGCAAGTTATTTTTGTTTCATGCTGGTGCTCAAGGGTGACATCTGCTGGATCAAAAAATTGCATATAAAGCCTTTAATATAATCTTAAGATGTCCCTCGTTTGTCAAACATTCCCTGAAACCCCTTCACTCCTACTTTTTTGTTGGTGGAATTGCAGAAACAAAAGAAGAATTTTTGTCTTTTTTTTTTAAAACGGATAACTCAGCAAGCAATCTGAAGCAACCTTAATCAGTGCTCAAGCTTTCTGAAATGAATCAGTGATACCAAGAGCTCAATCAAGGATTCATGTTAATGTGTTCAGTGCACAGTGGATTTGCTTCTACTAACAAACAAGAACAACATCTACCTTTACTGAGAAATGTGCCTTATGGTAACTTCAATATTTTGATTGTTGCTGTTTTTCTAGCCTGGTGGTCAGCGTTTGTTCTGGTTTAGCCTACACTCAGGAACCACCTGCTTTTTTTTAACTGTGTGCCGTGTAGGACTTGTTGTGATGTACTCACAGGGAAACCATAGTCCAGCTATGTGAAGTTTACAGACTCCTTGGTAAACATGAATGTCTTTTTTTTCCTTTTTTACAAACAAAAAAATACAGGATATGCGTCATATGGAAAATTCAAGGTATTTCATCGAGCTGCGCTGAGTGATGATAATGTTTGCTGATGAGTTATTAGTATAGGATGAAATGGCTTTTCATATTAGTTACAAATACTGAGAATCATATAACATTTTTAAGGTAACGTACCCTGCTATAGTAAGAGACTGTAATATGTTGGATGAAGCTGCATTGTGTTGTCTGGCTTACCTGCTTTACACATATTACTCTACCATGACTCTATGTCTGCTGTATATTTCATAGTGCTGTGTGTGGTTTTCCTATTTACAGTCAGTCTGCCTGTCAACAAAGGGAGCATGGTTGTGGTGGTGCTTTCAATATGAACTAATATTTGCATTGAGCAAAAGGAAAAATGTTTAGTAATGCATCAGTAATTAGTATGAGCAGGTCTTGGACTTTGAGGAATTGGATTATTTAATTTTAATGCATGTCAGATTAACACTCCTGATATGAAACCACATCACTGTCGAGCTCTCCTCCTCCCCCTCCCTCAGCAGGCATACCTGCAACACCTTTATGAAATATGCAGCAGCTGTCCCCCTGTTTGTCTGTCCTCCCCCTTCCACCCGTGGCCGAGCAGAAAACTAGACCACAGCCAGGTGAAGTTGTCAGGCTCGACAGACAGCCTTGCCATGTTTAAGCACCAGGGATCTCCTACCTCACCGAGGTGTGCCTTTCCCCAAATAATTCTTCACAGTGTTGGCAGGTGACAGAAACACTGACAGGAGTGGAGGTAGAGAATACATACAACATCGTGTGTGACTATCTGAGGTATGACTGAAAGAAACCAGTCATTTCAACATCGTTGTGACACACTGTGTCCCAGTTCATATATTTATTATCAGGGTTATCAGATATGATTGTACACACTATGGATGATAATCACTGTTTTTTTTGGTTTTGGTTATTTTTCTAACCATCAGCTTAAAGCACTTGCTAAAGTTGTGGAGTTCAATGAAATATGAATGAATCAAAACAGGAAGTAACTATTATCTGTTCCTTTAAATCTATCCGTCAGCCTGTATCATAAGACTGTATATGAACAGGATCTCAGTGATGTCACCCACATGTTACTGAAGCAGACTTTTGCAGCCCAACAATGGCGGTCACCACATTGGAAATGCTGTCTCAAACGAACTTTTGATCAACCTTTAAATAGATAAAAAGCTGTAGAGCTACAGCAACAACGTGCCCTCTGTCAGTCAGATCAGCCACCCCCCTTATTATTCATAGAATCAAAATGAACGAGTTATAAAAAAAA